GTGGCAACATTTTCAAAAAATAGGACAAGTTTTTTACGCCAAAGCGTTCTGCGTAAAGATACCTTTTAGAAAACTATAAAATTGTTATATGTTCTTAATAAAAATTTTATTTTATTAATAAAAGAGTTAAGACACATTTTTGGCAAAAAAATGGCAAAAATCTAAAATTTTTTGAATTTTTAAATTAAAAAACGTATATCTTTGGATCTGTAAACAATATTGATCTGAAATTTTTTGTATATTATTGGAAATTTTGTTGTCTAACTAACATTGAGTCCATTTGGTCCAAAATTACGCCCGGTATTCAAAAAAAGGCGGACCAAGGTATGGTAAATTTTGTATCACTAAATTTTTATATGCCTATAACTCGGATATTATAAGAGATAAGTAGTATGTCCAAGCATGTTTTTTCAAGATCTCGTCGAGCGCTTTCACAAAATATAAAAAAAATGTATTTGGGTGAAAAACAAAAAAATGGCACGAGTTTAAAAATTTTACATGTCGTAGGTACCCTACTTTAAGCCGCCACAGCGCCGTCCCTGGGGCATCTGCAGGGTTCATCTTCAAAACTTAAACTCGAATACTCCTTGGCTACGCTCACACCAAATTTTATCCCGATCGGATCAGCCGTTTAGAAATGCCAGATTTATTTCCAAAAAATTTCCATTCTGCCCCACTGTGCAGCGCTTCACTTTCAAGTAATTTTCAGAAAGGGATTTTGTATGATTGCTAGGGTCTAATGAGGCTGGATCATTAGTAAAATCGGCAGTATCACTTAAACTAAACCAAGATTTGCGGATTTTTGTATAGATTCTACAACACTTAACAAATTTCATCATATTATCTTGAAAATTGCAATCTGTAGCGTGCGGAGGATGTAGGACCAATATTTTTGGGTGTTACAAACATCAGCATAAACGCATAATACCCTCTCCACTATAGTGGTGTAAGTTATAAATAGAACTTTTAAGGTTAGAAAGTACTAAACTAATTTTCCGATAAACTAGGTTATATACATACTGGACCACAGATTTGACTATAGACTAGACTATAAGCTAGACTAAAGACTACATTATAGACCAGATTATAGACTAGATTATAGACTAGACTATAGACTAGACTATAGTATAGACCAGACTATAAGCTAGACTAAAGACTACATTATAGACTAGACTAAAGACTAGACTATAGACTAGACTAAAGACTATACTATAGACTAGACTATAGACTAGACTATAGACTAGACTTTAGACTATACTATAGACTAGACTATAGACTAGACTATAGACTAGACTATAGACTAGACTAGACTACAGACTAGACTATAGACTAGACTACAGACTAGACTATAGACTAGACTACAGACTAAGCTATAAACTAGACTACAGACCAGACTACAGACTAGACTATAGACTAGACTACAGACTAAACTATAGACTTGACTACAGACTAGACTACAGACTAGACTATAGACTAGACTATAGACTAGACTATAGACTAGACTATAGACTAGACTATAGACTAGACTATAGACTAGACTATAGACTAGACTATAGACTAGACTATAGACTAGACTATAGACTAGACTATAGACTAGACTATAGACTAGACTATAGACTAGACTATAGACTAGACTATAGACTAGACTATAGACTAGACTATAGACTAGACTAGAAACCAGACTATAGACTAGACTAGAGACCAGACTATGGACTAGACTAGAGACCAGACCATAGACTAGACTATAGACCAGACCATAGACTAGACTATAGACCAGACTATAGCCTAGACTATAGACCAGACTATAGACCAGACTATAGGCTAGACCAAGACTAAATTATAGCCTAGACTATAGAGTAGACATTGAGTAGACTATAGACTAGACTATAGATTAGACTATAGACTACACTAAAGACTAGACTATAGACTAGACTATAGACTACACTAAAGACTAGACTATAGACCAGACTATAGACTAGACTATAGACTAGACTATAGACCAGACTATAGACTAGACTATAGACTAGACTACAGACTAGACTATAGACCAGACTATAGACTAGACTATAGATCAGACTATAGACTAGACTATAGACCAGACTATAGACTAGACTATAGGCTAAATTATAGCCTAGACTATAGAGTAGACTATATAGACCAGACTATAGACTAGAATATAGAACAGACTATAGACTAGACTATAGACTAAATTATAGCCTAGACTATAGAGTAGACTACTGAGTAGACTACAGACTAGACTATAAACTAGACTATAGACTAGACTATAGACTAGACTATAGACCAGACTATAGACTAGTCTATAGACTAGACTATAGACCACACTATAGACTAGACTTTAGACTAGACTATAGACTAGACTATAGACTAGACTATAGACTAGACTATAGACTAGACTATAGACTAGACTATAGACTAGACTATAGACTAGACTACAGTTTAGATTATAGACTAGATTATAGACTAGACTATAGACTAGACTATATATTAGACTATAGAGTAGACTATAGACTAGACTATAGACTAGACTATGGATTAGGCTATAGACTATACTATAGACTAAACTTTAGACTAGACTATAGACTAGACTATAGACTATGCTATAGTCTAGATTATAGACTAGATTATAGACTAGACTATAGACTAGACTATATATTAGACTATAGAGTAGACTATTGAGTAGACTATAGACTAGACTATAGACTAGACTATAGACTAGACTATAGACTAGACTATAGACCAGACTATAGACTATAGTAGACTATAGAGTAGACTATAGAGTAGACTATAGAGTAGACTCTAGAGTAGACTATAGACTAGACTATAGACTAGACTATAGGCTAGACTACAGACTAGACTATAGACTAGACTATAGATTAGGCTATAGACTATACTATAGACTAGACTTTAGACTAGACTATAGACTAGACTAGACTATAGTCTAGATTATAGACTAGATTATAGACTAGACTATATATTAGACTATAGAGTAGACTATTGAGTAGACTATAGACTAGACTATAGACCAGACTATAGATTAGACTATAGACTAGACTATATTCTAGACTAAACTATTTACTAGACTATATACTAGACTATAGACTAGACTATATACTAGACTATAGATTACTACTTTATTTAAATATCGACTATTTTGGTCAAAGATATAAATTTGCTATAATTTCTTAAAAAAAAAACAGGATAAATTTAAAATAGGCTTTGAAGGTTAAAGTTTCTAAAAAAATATTTTTTTAATTTAGCGTGTTTTTACAATTTATATTTAGACGTGTCACCCTGTTACCAGGAAGATGATAACACGCATATTCAAATCAGCTGTTCGTTAAATCAACTTGTCAAAAAATTAAAAAAATAGTGAGTGTATTTCTAGTTCAAAGAATTTAGGAAATTTTACGGATTATTTGTATATAAATTAAGTTGGAATTATGTTGTTACGCCTGGGGCTAAGAGGCACTTGGCACAAGCAGATTAGGTAAGTTTGTTTAATCGATAAACCAAATATGAAATGTAAAAGTAAATAAAAACTTGCTTATACTTAGGGACTCTACACTACAACTGGGTCAGACAACAAATCGTACATTATTGCATCATGTTGGCTTAAACTCAACAAATACACAAACCTCTCTAAGTCATCGTTTGGTACTGCGTTCCATACGTAGCTCAGCACGTTCTAAAAATTCATCACGTCCTGCCCTTCAGCCATTCGAACCGCCTAGTGGTTCGGTGCCTTCTGGTAATGTTTTTAAGGCTTTAGTTTTCACCGGAGCGGTATGTTTGATAAAAATTAAGCGTTTTGTTTACAGTAATAGTTAACTTTTTGCTTTTAGTTTAGTTTGGGCTCATTTTTGGGAGCTACGGTGTTGGAATATGAAAATACCCGTAACATGATGTTGGAAAAGGCAAGACAAGCTAAATTGGGTTGGCTGAGGAAAAAATCAAGTCAAGAGGATTCTTGGGAAAATATTAAACGTGACATACGTCGCCTATGGGATCAGTTGGCGCCCGGAGAAAAGGTTTTTGTACCTATCTGTGCATTCAATGTTTTAGTATTTGGTCTGTGGAGAGTACCATCTTTAAGAGGCGCTATGATGAAATATTTTTGCTCAAATCCTGCAGCACGTGAGTGTTTTATATATTTTTTAGGATTTATGTATTTGTTTATGTAATATTTTTGTTTGTTTTGTTTTTAGGTACTGTTTGTTGGCCCATGTTTTTGTCTACATTTAGTCATTATTCTGCGTTCCATTTATTTGCAAACATGTATGTTTTGCATAGTTTCTCTAATGCTGCCATACTTTCCTTGGGAAAGGAGCAATTTTTGGCTGTGTATTTAAGTGCTGGGGTGATAGCAAGTTTGAGTAGTGTTCTATATAAGGCACTTACTTTACAAGCTGGACTTTCTTTAGGAGCGGTAAGAAATTCGACTAGGTATAATTTCTATTTTTTTTAATTTTAATTTATATATATTACAGTCTGGCGCTATAATGGCAGTTTTAGCTTATGTTTGTGCCCAATATCCTGATACACAATTAAGTATATTATTTTTACCTATGGTAACATTTTCGGCCGGCTCTGCTATTAAGGTGATTATGGGTATCGATTTAGCAGGTTGTATAATGGGTTGGAAATTCTTCGATCATGCTGCCCATTTGGGAGGTGCCATATTTGGACTGTATGTTTCTATTTCAAATATATATGTATATAAATATTTATATTTAAACTTTTAATATCTTTACAGATTTTGGGCTTTCTATGGTATGGATTTGTGGCAAAAACGTGTCCCATTCCTAACAATGTATCATGACTGGCGTAAGACTAAATAGTTTTAAATTATGTATTAATAATACGTTAATTTTATGCTACAAACAAATTTGTTGTATGTAATAATGACAAATTCTATTTACCTACACATAATGATCTAATAGTACATTGTTATTTATAGTGTTTTAACGAAACAATATATATTTTCATTTGTTTTTCTACACAACAAAAAAAAAAATCAAAAAATAAAAATGCTTTCTTTATTGTACATCATCAGTTTTCTTCAGTCTTTTTTCATTATTATTATCCAAGTTTATTCTTTTTAAAGAACGTTCAATTTCCAATTTTCTTTTCTGTAATTTATCCTTAAACTCCTCTTTGGTTTCATATTCCGGAGCATAGGATATATGCAAAATACCACCATAAAATTCTTTAGCATCCATAAAACGTTTACATTTACGCGCCTCATGGATTTTGTAAAATTTTGCCAAATACACTTCGGTAAATTGTTCTAATTCCAATTGACGATCTAACATTTCTGTGGTAACATTGCGTACATAATATAACTTACCAAATCTCTGAAGACGCTGTTTTAATTCTTGCAATAGATTGATTTTTGGCACACCAAATATAAGCAAATTCTGTGATTCATTAGCCACTGTATAGACCTTAAATAAGGGAATTGTTTTAACTTTTCATCAAGTTCAAATCGGATTAATTTTACCTTTACTGCTTTTAACTGTCGTCCTTGCCGGTATTTAAGGCGTGTGGTACAATAATCGTATTGTTTGTGATGTTCTGCATTACAGTCCATTGTTTTTTATAAATAAGTTCAATTAATTACATTGTTTAAATAATAAAACAAATATTTGCCACAAATAACTATAAACACTATAATCAGAGCCCTGCGCCGACAAATATTAACGGCGTCGGCGACTGACACTAAATATGTCGGCGGCGGCTTAAAATCGACTGTAATCCGGCTAAGTTTTCAACTACGTTTAGTTTTTATTTTTTCAACGATTTTAAATAAAAACGGAATCCGAGAGATCAGAAAGTAGGATTTTGGAAGCAAATATAGCAAACTCAAAAGTTGCATGAGAAATTATGCAGGGATGAATAAAAAATTCTTAAAAATTAAAAACAAATCCTTTCTCCAAGTTTTACTAGGATCTGCCGATATTTAACCCTATCTTCCATATAAAACATCTTGCAGAAAATCAGTTTCTAAAAAATTTTGCATTAAGAAAATGATCAATAACGTAAAAACAAAGATATTTTATTTGTTTATTTACTAGCTATACCCAGTGTGCTGTGCTACCCTAAAAGCAATATAAATAAGAAACCTACTTAACAATTTTGATGATTCTAACTACAATGGTTTTCCAGATATACAATTTGTTACATATGAGATATTCCACGCAAATTATTGCAATTTCGCCAATTATTCCGAACGTTAATTAAGATTTTAATTTAATCTATGAAAAATTTGAATAATCTAATAGTTTCCAGATATACAAAATTGTGTATTTAATTCATATGGGAAATGCCAAGCCCCCCATTGAAAGTCCGCCCGTTATTCTCTAAATGTTCTTCAGCAAAATTTGAAGATTCTAGCTCTAATAGTTTCTCAGATATACGAATTTTTCTATTTAATTCATATGGGAGCTCCAAGCCCCCCAGATGAAAGTCCACCCTATTTTCTCCAAAATGTTCAGATGAATATTAAAGTTGTTCGTGCAAAATTTGAAGAATTTAGTTATATTAGTTTCCCAGATAAACGAATTTTTGTATTTAATTCATATGGGAGGTTCCGCTCCCCTCATTGGTAGTCCCCCAGTTTATTACCCAAAATGTTTACATGGATGTTAAAGTTCTCCCAGAACAACATCATTTAAAGGGATCACAAAGAGATTGAAAAATATTCCAAAAGTTTCACTTTGAAAACATTATTAGAATGTATGAAAACTCGCAACTCTAAAGGAAGTCTATTGCTATTTTAGTGGTATTTTATGATTAAAATAAGTAAGGCAAATCATATGTCGTAAAAAAGCAAATTTCGGAAGTGGTCCGATCATTAGATTAATAAGAACGTCACAGTGTTTTTCGGATTAGGGACTTAAATGTGGATTTGGATCAATAATATATATAATTTAAAGTATTTTTTTTAATTCTACTATAATTCTATCATAATGATAACTTTTGGAATGATGTATTAGCTATAAACTGATTTTCTGTAAGAGGGTTATATTGGCGGACCGATCCTCATAATTTTATTTTTCTTAAATGTGGGTTTCGGTTCCTAAAAATGTTTATTTCGTCGACATCGACATTTGAAAGCCATTTATGTGCGTTTAAGTCATTTTCTGAAGATTTCATTACATATTTTCGTTCCAACAAAAATTGTTTTATTATGGTATTATTAAGTACGTAGAAAACGTTAAAATCAATTATTGAAGGGGGCAGGGTCTATAGAGATTTCGATTGATATGGAGCCCTTTTTGCAAAATGGACGTAAGCGAGATAAATTTTCGTTCAATTAGGATACTGCGTGTTTAATTTTATGTTTATATATTCAATATTTTAGAAAATTCAAAAGGTACCAGTTAAAAAACGAAAAATTACCAGCAATACTCCAGTTTAAATTTTCATTCACTCAAGTCCCTGATTGCTTAGTTTTATGTTTTTAGGTTCATTATAAAAGAAAATCCAAATAGTACAAGTTGAAGAACGAAAAAGTCCCGTTTTATATGTTCTCACTTACTCCATGTTCAATATTATAGAAAATTCAAAAAATACCTTTTGAAGAACGAAAAAGTACCAAAAAGTTCCCTTTTATATGTTATTACTTAATCCGGGCTGTACATTCTTAAATTCATGTTTCTAGGTTCAATATTATAAAAAATTCAAAAAGTACCAGTCGAAGAACGAAAAATAGAAAACTCAAAAAGTACCTTTTGAAGAACGAAAAAGTACCAAAAAGTCCACTTTTATAGATTCTCAAGTGCTTAATTACATGTTTCTAAGTTCTAAGTCAAAAAAGTACCAGTTGCAACATCGTATTGGGAGCCCGTTATTATGTATTCATATGTATAAGTTAATAAACCAAAAACAATGTTTTATAAAAAAGTACCAAAAATAGGTACAATCTTAACCCCTTTAACGTCCGAATATCCAAAAAGTACTAAATTCATATTTTTATTTGTTCGTCAAGTTATGAAGGATTCAAAAATATTTTTTGAATGTTCTCTGGTTTAAAAGATACATGGGGTGCAAAAGAAGTACCAAATTACAATTTCTACCCGTTTATTCCCCAAAAGGGGCCGAATTTGAAAAAAGTACCAGACACCTGTCCGCTTATTTTTTAAATGAATGACGATAATAAGCTTTAAACTGTTTTTGTATCTTTTATAGTTTAGGAGATATGAGGTTACCGAATTTACCAGTTTTTACCATTTTTAACCCCCTAATCATTCGAATTTCCAAAAATCCCGTCTAAGTGGATCTATTTGGTGGGAGACCAACCTCTTGTCTAAATTTCAGCTCTTTAGCTAAAACCGTTTAGGCTCTACGATAATGAATCAGTCAGTCAGTCAGTAACGTTAGAATTTTATATATGTAATTATGTATATAGATTTCGTGCATTGAATTATACTGTAAAAACATTGTAATGTTCGACTTGAATTCAAGTTTCGTTTCACTGGAGAATGCTATTGAATTAAAGTGTATTTCAACACTTGAAATTTGAATGTTTGACTGGAATTAAACTTGTTTTAAACTTTAATTCCAGCAAGAATGCTTATTTGGTATAGTGTGACAACTATAAGGGACCTAAAGTCGACATTAAGCCCACAATGGTTAGTACCAATATTTTGCCCAAACAACATCTACATACCTAGCCAGGTTATATCCTCTAGGTCCGTGAAGACATTCTCTACAAAGCTATAAATTTGTATAAAAGGCGGCTTAACAATTGTTTCTTGTAAATATTCGGCCAGCATAGTGTTTGGAGACAACAAGAGCTTCACTGAAAGGCACACCTGACAAACATCGCGCTCTATTATGGGTGTATGGTAGTGATTCTGCTAAGATCAATGGTATAATAATAAGTATGTATCTCAAAGATACCCCCTGAATACGGCAATCAGCTTCCTTCAATTGCCTGTAGGTGATAATATACCATGTCACCACTAGCCGACCGACCACCACCCGCCTAGGCTACTAGAGAGGTATACAATTGCCACTTTCTTGTGGGCATTTTTCCAGGAGACCATCATGATGCCTCCTCTTTCTTATAGACAAATAAATAATTAATTAACACCATTACTTACATTTTTTAATCTTCTAGATCTCACAAATATGCCAAATATAGATTTCGATAAACACTTTTGGGTATTAAACGAAAACAAATCCCGCCTTAAAAAAATTTCATCATAATTATTAACAATTTAAATAAATTCAACCCAACACTTGCTGTTTCTTTGTACAATGACCCTCGGTATAGTAGTATAGCATACAATCTTATTAATTTAAATTTTTAGTAAAAAATTATTTTTTTTATTTAAAGAATATCATTTCTGTCATTTTAGATTTTCGCACACACACAACAGATTTTTTTTTGGCAAATAAAAAATGCAGAAAACAGTTTGGCGCGAAAAATTCTAGCAGAATTTCTTTTCGCAGTCGGCAGAATTGACGTCAACTGCACTTCCCATTTGAAATACACATGTTCGATACCCTAGCCCTTTACGGTATGACATACCAGCAATGTAAAAAGGTGTAGCTCCGTTGACGTCAACGAAGCTGGTTTGAAGTCAAAGCAGCGACTCGAATTAGGCGCGAAAACACGAAAATATCTGAGGCGAAGCATATACATCGAACGTTGAGCAAAGTTCTACACCGGCCAAATTTCAATGAGCGGCTTATTATTAGATAAAAGAAAACTTGCTTAAATGAAAACAAATTAATTTTATATTGTAAAATTCCACAAATTTAGCGAAAGTATTCTGTAAATTGTACAAAATATGGCGAAATTTTCAAGCAGTATTAAGCTGAAAAATTTTCGGCGGCGGCGGCTTTGACATTTTGTTCGGCGGCTAGGCTTAGTCGGCTTAAGCCGAATCGGCGCAAGTCTCTGACTGTAATTGCGCAAAAAAATAAACAAATTACATATGGCCGCTTTAGCGATGCCAGATCACTTATGATTTTAATTTTACAACCATTAGCTTTTATATATAACAACATTTGTTGCTTGACAGTGGCAACTACAGAGAAATATACTTAGTGTTGGTAAGGCAGTGCTTTTAGTAAATTCGTTACTTTTTTAAAAGTTGCTGTTTTTTCTAGTTTTCTTAACTTTATATATATGTTTTATTTTTATAATACATATGAATACATTTGTTTTTTATTTTGGGAAAATATAAATTACATAATTTAAATTTGTATCTTAAAAATAACGAAATGGAATAGGTATGTATGTATAATTGTTAATATTACACATTTGCAATAATATAGTCATAACACAAATTTTATAAATATTAAATTAAATTTGCTATTTTTTTAATTTCAAATTGTTTTAAACCAGCAAAATAGTTTGAGCCAAAGAATAAATGTTTGAGCTATGACAATGTTATTGCAAATGAGCGATATGTAGATTAGTGTTTCGTTAATATATGGTTTTAGTAATACATATTGCACTAGAATTTTTCAAATTATTAGTCATGCAAATTTTTTGCACGAATATAATAGAAAGTGGAGTTTTAATGGAAAGAATTTGCAATTTCGGGGGGAAAAAATTGAAATATTTTTAACAACTTTAACTTCTGCCAGTTAATACCTTTATTTTCTTATAATTCTCTGCCCACAACTTTACTCCAATTCAATTTGTAAATCAAAAGGATATTCATTGGAAC